CACATACACACACACACACACACACATACACACATACACACATACACACATACACACATACAGACACACTAACTGCAAAGACTCCCATTTTGTGCTTCGCACATGGGAGTCAATAAAGAAAAAATTAGTTATGAAGAAGTTTATCAGATTTTTTTTTCTTGCCCAAGGCTTGGTTAAAATCCTGGATTAACACCCATCTTCCTATTTAAATGACTGGGAGATGACAAGCTTTTGCGATGTAGCCACAGTCTTGAATAATTGGTGTCAGGATGATAAATCTTGGACTTTGTCTGTCAGTATAATTAGACTGTTGCATTAAGCACTTTGATTGTTATCATTCAATATATTTATTATCGCCTTATATTAGTTTTCTTAAATTGTGTGTTTAAATGTTTGATCTAATATACGCTTACGCAATATATGATCTCCCCCCCCCCCCATTTTCATAGTCGAGCCGATCGTTTTTGCCTCAAATTTCAAGATTTGTTTAGGCGAAAAATGACAATTTTGTAGTCGAAAAGCGCTTCAAGCGTCGATCGTTTTGGACCAGTTTTCAAATGGTAGTGGGCACTCCCACCAGAAATCCAGGCGAGTACCGACCTCCACCCAGGACACTAACAGACGAAGTCCAAAACATATTCGGGTCCAAAATAACTCGTATCCGTCGCTGTGTCGTCAATAGGGGTTTACATTCAGAGCCACACAGTGGGAACGACGCTGTTAACACTGCATCACTACGTGGCACAGAGACGACCAAGGCAATATCATCCTACCTCGAGCGGAAAGTGGATCTGAAACAATCTACAAATCATTTAACGATTGACTTGAATGCAAATTAAACGAGTCTATATCTTTCGCGATTTACAAGCTCCCTGCCCTCGCTGATCGAATCGATCAGTGATCATCTTACTGTACCTTGCATCACTAAAGTATCAGAAACAATACTTGCCTGACGTACTTGGAACGTCCAAATATTACACTGGCCGCGTGGATGAACACACACAAACAGCAGATGTTGACTACGTCATCTCTCTAAACGTCGAGTGACTCAACTTGCAAACCTTTTGATCGCCCAAGATGGCTGATAATTAACATAATTTATGCAGATGTCAGCAAACGTTCACTTTCGTTTTGTAAACCCGGTTTGTAAGTAAGAGCACCCGAACATGTGGAAACATATTCTCAAGATTTTTCAAAACTCTAACATTCGCGGACTATGCTATATAATTCAATGTGCACGCAACTCAGAGCAGCTACACTGTGAGCAAGCAAGTTTCACAAACGCTTGAATACGCTGACTTATTGGACGGGCACCCTCAACGGTCAGTTATTCATATAATGTTGTTTTTATTTGAACTTCACTGATTCTAATTCTAAACCCGTGTTCACGAAAGCTATTACCATTAATAAACTAATTTGTTTTATTATTTGGAATCTACACTTGTACTATGTGCGCTGATATTCTGCCCCTAATGTATATACTATGTGTCGGACGTACGTTCATGTTGAACATCATCAATCTATACCCAACAACTGAATTATTGAAGAAAAAAAAAAACTTAAGTTCAATACAAAATAATCTTCGACCGTTACAATGACTATATAGTTCATGCACGGAGGTTTCATTTGAACAAATATAGGTAGTGGTGGGGGAGGGGTACACATTGTATTACATTACAACATTACTGTGTAATCTTTTTCGTTGGATATGCATAACACAAATCATGACAAATATGGCATGTCCTATGTGATGGCTGAACTGACAATTCATCGCATTCTCTTATTCTGCGCAAAATATGTTGTACTGTGTGTGTTTTGTACTATGTAACGTAAAACGTGTCTGAAATCCAAATCTAATCTGTTTGACGCAGTTGAAGCATCCATTGGAAAGCTGTGCAAATATATCCCGCAAACGCTGTTCTCTTAATTTCTTTAGAGCCGGCTGAATGCGCAAAAAGGTTATTCATACGTGGTTATTTTACAAGTTAGCAGTATGGCGCCCTCTATTTAAGCTATTGAGTGGCTCTTGTTTTCCTGTCCATGTTCATGGTGTGCAACTTGTGATTAAAAGCATTTTAAAGGCCTGATTCCGTTTGGACCTCATTGTCTTTGTCCAAGTTACTTCTCTTATATTATCTGTCGATTTTACAAATAAAAACGTTAACGGTCACGTTACTTTTTCCGCCAGGTTTTTTTTTCTCGAAAAATGCCAAGAATCACTTAAAAATCAGAACCACCGAAAACATTGAGACTGATATTTGTTTTTTGTATATTTGTGATAGATTTCATGGTTTGTTTGCCATTTTTGATTTTTTCCAAACAGCAAAAGATGTCACATTTATTTGATTATTTTGAAATTTGCCATGTAGCAATCAATTCGGACCCAAAATGGCAAAATATAGGGCATTAGTTTCTCAGGAGTGATTTAACCAATCAACTTGATATTTAGCAAAATATTTGACAAAAGCTAGAATCTGTAAAAAGAATATAAATGAGTACATATTCACGGCATATGCAGCCTTCAAACTTCAGCCCGACAAAGATTTAATTTTATTTTATTTTAGTTCGCTGAGTGCCATTTGAGGGCGTGGGTACAGTCTCGCTTCACGTAGGTGTCCGTCTCTTGTTTGCCTCAGTTTTGACATAATTTGAGATTGTTAACCAAACTGTTTTCTTTTTTTCATGTGGTTGCTGTTTTAATCAAACACTCTGAGGACCGACGCCGACCTTGTTTATCATTTCTTTAGTCTGCGTATATGCTAGCATTATGTTCTACGAAACACCCATTAATGATATGGTGCTTTACGCGCTGTACTGTGTGGTTCAGATTTGTGAGCGGGTCTGTTCAAATTGTATACCTATTAATTCAATTATAGGTCTAGTTTTATGATTAACTTTATAGTAAATAAATAAATGTTGTTTTAAATCTTTTTGTTTTAATATTGCTTGTTTCGGATGTCAAATGGTTTTTCATTTGCATTTGTAAGATAAAATGATAAATGGGCTGTACATATTTTGCAAAAGTATCTGTAGTTAGTTATTTTGGCTGTATTGAAAGTGTTAGAGGTGCTGGTGACACACCACACTCATATTTACCAAAGATATACACCTTGTACTGCACTCTAGTGGTATTTCAAACAGCGTGTCCACACAGTGCTAACGTTTTTTTATTCAGCCAATCCCCCGTCTGATGTGAAGCACAAAAACAAGTCTTACGACTCTCGCTCTCAGTGAGATTTCGGCGATCATTTGCGTCAGAGGTCTATTTGCATAATACATACTATCCAAAGTAATGTTGCGTTAATACGTCACCGTAGTTATGTTTATTCAGTGAACACCGTGATGTATACTCAGTACGAACTTATCGTTTCAGAATCATATTCCATGTCTTTTATTTCATGATAGCGCAAATCAAAGACGACAAACATGTGCGGAAAAAGCCCACGGGAGCGTGCCTTGATAATGCTCATATCGAAGCATTTTGTAAAGTGGCGCCTATTATAGGTAATAACAGTCACAGATCATTACAAAATCTACACAATTTGAGATTTTTTCAATAACTGTCGAAGGGATATTGCTTCGTTATTAAGTCCCATGTGTCAAGTAAATTATATTCGCGTAATTGTTTCGTATCGCATGTTTATATCCCGTTTACATGCTGGTTGTACTTGATAGGACCTGTGACCACCCACTACGTATTTTCTCATCCTAGCGCATGTACGTTATTGTGGTGAAATACACCGGGTAAGCACACCTACGAAAAAACATTATTTCGCCTCAAAGTAGCCTTGAACACATGTCTTTCTTTTACATAAATGTGTAACTATAAAAAATACATGGGTATATGTTTTTATAATGTTTTGTCTGTCATCACAACATATTTTAAAAACCAACTGAATGAATTAATGAACGAATGAACGAATCAATCACTCCACCAATTCGTCCGGTCGTCCGTCACAATATATTTTGCGGACGTATACGTAATGTTTTAAAACAAAATTGACACGTGCTTAAGTCATCCCATGATTTAGTATATGTCTCTAAAGATTATACATAATTAGGAAATGAAAACTGTTGACTATTTCAAAGTAATGGTTTTAGGTAGGAATGGTGATATAATATAATATAAGACACATGTCAAATAAATGCACAAGATCTACAGTCTTGAAATAAAAATAATCGATAGCCATCCATTTCGAACGGGTCTGTAATTATAGAAGAAAATTACGTGCGTATTATAATATATATACATATGGACGAAAGCTGGCCATGTACGTCCGTGATCCGGCTCGGAATATAGCTTGAGATAATATTTGGCGCTTGTTCCGATTTTAGCTTACCATTCGACCATTTGGTGCGATCACGAATTAATTGATATGCCCATGTAAGACATGGTGTAGTTTAAATATCTGTAGTTTAAACGTATGCCTGGGATATTATTTCGGTGACATTGGCCCACAAAGGACTTTTTTCTTAATTTTGTATACAACAAACTCGACTCCCTGTGATTTCCCGGCGCGCGTCATGTAACGCAGCAGCCATGGCACTCAGGATTGGTAGTGCAAATCGAACACGCAGTTTCCAGCTGCTTGAATTGCTTTGACGGAACGTGTCAATCTCTCAGACAGAGTTCTATTGCTACGAATATATCTCTGCCACCACGCAATCTTATGCTTCTCATTGATTGGTCGATGCCTCACAATGGTACTCACTCTCCCTTGCAGAGTCTTCTTGACCTAGGGGGCTACAGAAAGCCGTGGGACACTCCCTGGCGACTACCTAGCTTAGTGATAAAAGTTCCATAGTCTCGATCGGCGACGGAGAATGAGCGGTACTACTTTTAAAGACGCCCAACAGAACATTGCCATGCAGGTGTTCGATTTTAGAACCCAACGAAAGCGTATGTGTTGTTTGTAGATTATTTTTTTTTAATTTCTGTAACACAAACGGTGTGACAGTAGGACGAATTAGCCGTCAATACCCCTAAGTGCTTTCGTGTCTTTATATTTCTTCGTTTGGCAATCAACAGGACGGTCAGTTTGATGAACCGA